CCAACACGGGGCTCCATCCCAGAAACGATGAGATCATGACCTGAGCCGAAATCAACAGTCAGATGCTTAACTGACTGACCCACCCAGGTGTCCCTAATTAGCATTTTCTGAGGTTGCACTGTCTACATTTATTGGCAATTTGTATCCTTGTATAAATTGTCTGCTTGTACCCTTTGCCCGTTTTTCTGTTGAACTTTCATCTATGTTTTCTTGTTGATATACGAGAACTTTTTATATATTGAGGCTCCAACACATTATATGTAATTTATGGCAACTGTTTTTCCCACTTAATGTCTCCTTTTAATTTTCCCTATGTATTGCAGACCAATGACTTTTTACGAAGCTAAATTCTATCCTGAGTTCTGTAGCTTCTTCCATTGCTTTCAGCTTTAACAAGTGTTTCCCTGTGGTGAGAGTCAATAAACATTCAGCCATATTTTATCCTCCAGGTGCTTTCTGGAAGTGGTCTATTCGTGTTCCTTCACCCCCAAACTCACCTTCCTTTCCCACCTGAGCTGCTGCCACTCCCATCTGACCTCCAGACTCACCTGCAGGAAGAGGGAGGTCCTCTTGGTCGGGTCCCAATGAAATTCCACCGTGTTGAGCTGTGAGGGCAGCACTTGGGGCTCTATCACCCCCACGGACAGTGGCACATCTGCAGGCACAGGATGGCAAGCAAGGAGCAAGCCTCAGCCGTCCCCATCCACAAAGCCTTCCAAGCCGGAAAGCGGCCCTGAAGGCTCCCCCGTCCCTCCCCATTCACCGATGTCCAGGATGCGGTCCCCTGGCCGGCTCCACCTCCACCCATCCAGCTGTTGCTGCTCCGTGTACTGCAGGCGCCGGTCATGGAAAACCACACGCACCACACTCTGTGAGCACAGGAAGGCAGGGTTCACGAGTCAGAGGGTGCTTGGGCATTCGGGAACCAGTTCCCACAGCGGGCGTAGGCCAACCATCCCACCCTCGCCCCCACCTTGCTTCCCAGCCTCAGGGCCCACAAGCACTGAGATCACCAGGTCTGTGTCCAGATGCCCACCTGTCACTCTCAAGCTGTGAAACTGGGGGAGTAACCTAGAGACCCTGAGCCTCAGTTTCCTTATCTGTGAAATGGGTGAGTTACTCCCTTCCCACTCTTAGTCACTCTGTTTCTTTTCTTGCAGTACTTTTCAATTTGCAACTGGGAAATGAATGTGTAATTGCATATAATTTGTGTAATTAACATGCCTGTCTCAGTAGAATGCAAGCCCCCTGAGGAAGGGAACTACATCTGCCTCTTTACTGTTGAATCTCTAGCTCATAGAACAGTTTCTGGCAATGAATTGGGGCTAAATATATACTTTTTTTTTTTTTTTTTTTTTTTTTTTTTTGGACAGAAGGACTCATGCATGTGAATAATGCTATGTAAATGTATTTCTAAATCCCGGATCTGCTACTTTGTGTCCTTGAGAAAATAGTTAACCTCTCTGTGCCTCCTTCCTCAACAACTCCTGCCCACCAATGTGCTGCTGTGAAGGTAAAATTAAAAGGTGGACTTGAGAGGGTTCTGCTTGACAGTGACATCACCGTGATGACATTGGCTTCCTGCCCAGATGGACAGTCACACCCAACCCTTGCCAGTTCTGGAGGGGAATGCACCTACCTTCAACAGCCGGGCCCACTGGGTAGTATCACCCAGCTTGGGGTTGCAGAGCATCTGCACCTCATAGGACTGGCCTGGGAGAGATCAAGGGGATGTGCGAGCCCCACTCTGCGGGCAGAGATGGTGCCTGCCATTCCCATCCCGCACTGGGCTCGGCTTCCAGAGCTTGCTGCCCCACTAAGCCCTTTCCTTCCCCAGGCCCAGCATACCCTGGTTCAGGTAGGTGAGGGTCTCCTCCTGCTGCTTCACTGCCGGCGAGGTGGCTGCACAGAGCACATACTGGAAGGTGGGGCAGGGAGGCTCCGAGCTGGGGATGTTGTGCAGCTCTTCCTGCTTCAGGTAGGGCAAGGGCAGGGACTCCCTGCCAGGGAGAGGAGACCACCTCCGGCTTTCCGCCCTGTCCATCCCTTCCCCTATGGGGCTTTGACTCTGCCTGCCATATCCTCCAGAGAGCCAAGGCACCCCAGCAGCAGCCAGGGCCTGAGAGTCCCCCATTCAACTCCTCTGGCTCCTGGGAAATCTTCTTTAAGGTGCACATTTCAATTTTTTTTTTTTTAACGTTTAT